TGTCCCCCTGGGGCCCCCATGTCTGCCTCGAACTCACCATGCATGGGTCAGGAAAGCAATTGCATCAGCGCTGCCTCATCACCGCCCCGCGCCTGCCGCAGGTCCCGCGACCGAGCCCGAATCCCGTGGCGGGATCGAAGTCGAGCAATGCGCGCGCGGAGCAGCAGGCACGATCTCAACTTGCACAAGAAAGGGCCCGCGCCGACTGCGATGAGCTTTTGTCAGATGTTCCCCCTTCCAGGACGGGCCCTTCTGGCGAACTCAGCCCCGAGGATCCTGATTTCCCCGACCCGCCGAAAGCTCCTGGTCCGCCTAAGCCCAACGATGGTCTCGAGGCCGTGGGACCTTTTTGTTGACTTCGGAGCGCGGGAGGAGGAGGAGGAGGAGGAAGAGGACCCGCGGGCGGACGAGTCGTGTTTCAAGCCAGCCAGTCCTGCAGCATTTGTGTCCACAGGTAGTGCCGAAGCGTCGGTTGGCCAGTCGGTCAACGGTGATGTATATATATATATATATATAAAATAAACACCAGTCTCGGGCAAAACGCACAGGCGTTGATCGATATCTCTTCGAGGGGTGTTTCGGCGGCCCCCACAGCCGAGCGTCCCGGGGGCTCGGGCGTCAGCACGGCTGGCGAGCAGGTCGTTCCGCTCCATTCTGCCGTCGCAGCTGCCCCCGCCCTTCCCTCTTCTCCCATTCCCCCTTCTGTGTGGGCTGCATGCTCGGCTCAAGTTTCCTGGCACGCTTATTCTCACCGGGAGGTCTGGAACCCCATCAGGCACTCTTTGCATAGTGGGCAGGACAGCTGCAAATCCTGCCCATCAGTGGTTGTTATGGGAGATGGGTCGCCACCGCCGAGATGGCGATCACGGCCCGCCATGGGCTGGCGCCGCCAGCGCAGTCCAGAGCAGATGGATGCACGCTCGAGGTCAAGCCAGTCAAGGAGGCCTGCCACGTCAGGGATCAGCCGTTGCACGACGGTGTCGCAGCATGGCGGCACCGAGGGCATACGATCTTGAAGCAGGCGTGCCGTCACAGGCGTCGTCACAACGGAGAGATGCAGGCGATGCCACCGGCCAGGTCGGCCCAGAGTTTAGCTCACCAGCCTTTGGATGGAGCAGGAGCTAACTTTGCGGCCGCACCTGGCGTCTCGTGGTCCTCGTTTCTGGCGGGCCTCGAGCGCCTCCAGGAGCTCGGCGCCGACGAGCTCGGCCAGCTTGAGGAGGTGGCGTTCAGGTCCGCTCGACGCGCTCACAACAGGACCGCGCCGGCTTCACTTCGAGAATTTCAAAGGTGGATCGGCTCGGTCGACAGCTTGGGCGCTATGCACAGGTCCATCAAGAATCAACGGCCAGAGGCTGGTGCACCCGAGGGATATCGTCGATGCGAAGAAAGGGGAGTGGCACAGTCTTTGGTCGTCGGAAGTTTCATCAGGGCATGATGCAATCATGAAGGCGTGCGACCTCATCCGTGAGCACGCCGTCGTGGAGCAGTTGGAGCCCTTGTCCATAGACGAGATCAGGACTGCACTGAGTAGAATGAAACCCCGCGCGGGGCATGGAGTGGATCGGTTATCGCCTCTGGATTTTGCCAGACTTCCAGACGACGCGATTCAAGATCTCAGCAAATGGTTTACGATGATTGAGCAGGGCCCAAGTTGGCCCTGGCAACTGTTACGTGTGTTCGGGCGTTTGCTCGGGAAGAAGTCGGGCGGCGACAGGTGCATCGGCTTGCTGGGCATGCTGCGCAGAGCGCGGCCCCTCGCGCGCGAGCCCATCGTGCAAGCGTGGGCCGACCAGCAGGACGATTACTGGGACGCGGCCATATCAGGGAACAGTGCCCTGAGGGAGGCGTTCGTGAGGGCGCTGGAGGACGAGGCGCAGACCTCCCTGCGGCTGCCCCACGGGCAGGCGTTGCTCGACGTCGAAGTTTTCTATGACGGCATCGAGTTGCCCATCCTGGCGGAGTGTGAGATCAGGAAGGGCTACCCCCCCGTGGTGCTGCTCCTCGAGATCCAGCTTTTCATGGCGCTGAGGATGTTGTCGCAGCTGGACACGTACTCGTTGCCGTTCCAGGCCACCAAGTCAGGTTTTCAAGGCTCGAGAAGCGGATGTCGGTTCGCTGGGCGCTTCACGGCGGTCGCGCGCGAGAAGCTGGCCATCGCGCACCCCGCGATGTCGGAGAGGGTCTGGGTCGATGACTTGCTGGAGCGAGTGTCTGGCAGTCGAGCTCATGTTCGCGATGCTGCGGCCGAGGCAGTGGCCACCACGGCGAAGGAGTTTCGCCCGTTACGCCGGGGCATCGCGCCTCTCCACCGCACTTGGCTGTGCCAGAAAAACAGAGGCCCACCAGCGCTTTCGCAGTCAGACAAGCTGGTGGGCGAGGCCGTCGCCGAGCACGAATCGTGCCCCTGTTTTGGATGCGAGGTTTAATCCCCAGTGCCTGGACTCAGGTCACGCCACCTGCGACGGAGGAATGCTTTCTCGGTGGAAATCTGGCCCAC